GGGGGCAGGCGGCTCGGGGCGGCCCCGGGGCTGAGCGGGGCACGGATGGCGGCTCCCCAGGGCACCTGGCCAGAGGGGGGTGCGGGAGGGCTCGAGGGTCGGCGGCGCCTCCTCCGCTGCAGGCTTCGGCTCAGGAATGACCGGCACGCGTCTGTTTGGATCGCCTGAAAGGCTGTCAAACGGCATTCGCGTCCCTTCGTGCCGGATGGTGGGGCCTGGCTGAAGGATGCTTGTCTCGCTGCAGAGCCAGCAGCTTTTGCAGGTCACCTCGGCCCCCGCGGACGGGGGACACGGCACGCTGCCGCGACCCTCTCGCCAGCCCAGGCCTGCGCTGGGGACCGATTTTGGTGCATGCCCTGGTGAGTAAGTGAAGGCCAGGGACGGTCACCGTCTTGGCGCTGGGGACATGCTGGGGCTCCTGGCCTCTGTCGGGGAGCCCTCGCTGTCTTTAGGGTCGTTTCTGTCACTGTTTTCTCTCTCTTGCCAGACTAGCTAACAGGATCGGGGGACCATGAATTGGGGGGTGTTCGAAGGGCTGCTCAGCGGGGTCAACAAGTACTCCACGGCCTTCGGCCGCATCTGGCTCTCCCTGGTCTTCATCTTCCGCCTGCTGGTCTACGTGGTGGCGGCCGAGCGGGTCTGGAGCGATGACCACAAGGACTTCGACTGCAACACGCGGCAGCCGGGCTGCAGGAACGTCTGCTTCGACCACTTCTTTCCCATCTCCCACATCCGGCTGTGGGCCCTGCAGCTCATCCTGGTGACCTGTCCCTCCCTTCTGGTCATCATGCACGTGGCCTACCGGGAGGCCAAGGCACAGAGACGCCGCGCCGTGGAGGGGGACAACTGCCGCCGCGTCTACCTCGACCCCGGCAAGAAGCGGGGAGGCCTGTGGTGGACCTACCTGCTCAGCCTTGTCTTCAAGGCCGCCGTGGACGTGATTTTCCTCTACATCTTCTACCGCTTCTACAGGAACTACACCCTGCCCCACGTGGTGAAGTGCGAGCTCATGCCATGCCCCAATATCGTGGACTGCTTCATCTCCCGGCCCACCGAGAAGAACATCTTCACCCTCTTCATGGTGGTCACCGCCTGCATCTGCATCATGCTGAGCCTCATCGAGGCCACCTACCTGATAGGCAAGCGGTGCCGCGAGTGCCTCGGCGCCTGCTCTTTCCCCCGCCGAGTCGCCTGAAACTGGGGGGCAGGTTTTCCAGGGGGTGGATTACAAGCCCCCCACGGCCTCCATCCCTGCCAGCACACCGCAGGACGAAGAGGCTCTTCCCTAGAGGCTGGGGGGGGGGCAGGGGCACGTCGGGGAGGGGGCTGGCCCGTC